AAAGCAAAGATGTCACTTTGAGGACTAAGGTGTGCCTGACCCAAGCCATGGTATTTTCAATCACCTCATATGCATGCAAAAGCTGGACAATGAATACGGAAGATAGAAGAAGAATTGATGCCTTGGAATTGTGGTGTTGGTGAAGAATATTGAATAATACCATGGACTGCCAGAAGAAGGAACAAATCTGTCTTGGAACACAGAAACGTAACATTTATGGCCATGAGACACTGCTGGAACAGCAGTCTTTTTCCCCTTTCTCCTTAGAAACGGAATCCCAATTTTTTATTGGGTACTTTGCCACCCAGAATAAAAAACAATAATCTGTCTTTCCCAGCCTCCCTTGCAGCTAAGTGTGGCCAGAGACTAATTTCTAAGGCATAAGGGAAAGTGCTGTATAGAACTTCTGGGACATCTCTTAAAAGGGAAGGAGTATACCCTTATTTCTCCCAATCTCCTTCTGCTTGCCTAGAATGTCAAAGGGAAGCAGGCGCTCCAGCCGCCATCTTGGTTCATGAGGTAAGTCTGATGGAACAGGAAGACAGAAGGATCCTGTGTCTGGTTATTGTGGAGTCTAAGTAGACTTGACTGCCTGTCTCCTGAGAGGAGACGAAAAAAACAAAAAAAACTATCATTTTCAGCCACTGTTAATGTCAGACTTTTTGTTACTTATAACACAACCCCATTCTTATTGATTAGTATACTTATAACTACCACTCACTATACTAAATGCTTGGAGTCCACGAATGTCAGAAACATTTGAGTGCTCAGCTACTAACTGAAAGGTGGGTGGTTTGAACCTATGCAGAGGTGCCTTGGAAGAAAGGCCTGGCAATCTGATTCCAAAGGATTACAGCCATGAGAACCCTATGGAGCACAGTTCTGCTCTGCACACACGGGGTCATTACGAGTAGTAATCTACTGAATGGCAACTGGTTTGGTTTGGTTTTTTATGCTAAATGCTTACTTTATAGCAACTACGTAAGGTAGGAATGATCTTTATTTTGTGGATGAGGAACCTGAGGTTCAGAGATATTACAAAACTAACCTAATGACATGACACTGAGGTAGTAAGTGTCTGAGTCAGAAATCCCAAGTTACATTCTGGAACTATATTCTTTTTCCTGAACCATTCTTATACTATTGCTGTTGGGTGCCATCGAGTCAATTCCAACTCATAGCAATCCCATGTGGCAGTGCAGAACTGCTCCATCGGGTTTTCTTAGCTATAATCTTTAGGGAAGCAGTTCTCTAGTTTTTTCTCCCATGGAGCTACTAGGTACGTTTGAACCATCAACCTTTCCTTTAGCACCCAAGTGCTTAACTGTTGCACCTCCAGGACTCCTTATCCCTATACACTGTTAGGGTAAATCTCTTCTTTGTGTGCCTTTAGCTGAATGTCTTAATCTTTTTATCCTTTTTTAAAATTAGGATTAAACACCTCTGCATACTCAGGTTACTATTCTGAGGACAAGTGGGTTTATTATTGGGACAAAAATGATTATTTAAATTTTGTATACCATTAAAAATATTTAGTTAAAATAATTTTGAACACAAAATATCAGCAGTTACATAGGGAGACTTAACCTCCAGCATAACAGCAATTAATTACCAGTATACCCGTTGCTGTCGAGTCAATTTTGACTCATAGCAACCGCATAGGACAGAGCATCTATACGTGTTTAAACTGGTTTAAAAAATCGAGCTCCGTATTACTACTTAAATTCCTGTTCCAGAAATTCATTCTGCATGGCCTACCATTTGGCTGAATTGTGTTTAATCACTCACATCACAGTTTTGTCTTGTCATCCTGCAGTGCCTCCCTTTAATGAAGGTGCCTCCCATTAAAGGCTGGAAGGAAACCAGTCTTAACCAGCTCATACAAAGATAACTTGGGGTTCAACCTAATTGTCTGTAATATGACTTTGTAATTTTGGAAAAGTAAGCCCACATTTCTTGGTCTCAGGCTTTACTGTGATGAGTTAAGTTGTAATGAGTAAGTTGGACTCCATGAGTTCAAAGGCTGAGACCACCTCTAAGATTCTGAGCTCGCTATCCAAACGCGACAGTGAAATAGCTTAGCGGTTATGCTCTCCAGTCAAACAGATATGGATGCAAACCCTGCCTATTCGACTTTAGGCAAATTACACAATCTCTTATGTAACCTTTGAGCTTCTCATTAGTAAAATGGAGATAATAATAGGATCTACACTTCACAGAGTTTCAGAGATTTTAAAGGAGATAATAATTATAAAGCTCTGTATTAGTTTGCTACTGTTGCTGTAATGGATTACCACAGACTTGGTGACCTAAAACAACACCAGTCAAAGTCAAAGTGTCAGCAGGGCTGTGTTCCTTTCCAGAGGCCCTAGATTCATTTCTTTGCTTGTTCAGTTTGTTGGCAGAAATCAGCTCATTGTGGGTATGGGACTGAGGTCCCTCTCCTTGCTGGCTGTCAGTGGAGAATGGTTTCCAGCTTCTAGGGATCACCAGCATTCCCTTGGCTCTTGGCCCCCTTCCTCCACCTTCAAAGCCAGTAACAGCAATCGGAGTCCCTCTTGTACTTCAGTCTCACCTTGCTCTTCTCCCATCACATCTCTCTGACCAACCCTTCTGCCTTGCTCTTCCTCTTTTAAGGGGCCAGGTGATTACTCTAGGTCCCCCAGGATAATCTAGATAATATCCTTATTTTAAGGTCATTTTATTAACAAAATTAATTATATGTGCAACTTGAATTTCCATCTGCCATGTGATGTAACATATTCATAGTTTCCTGGAATTAGGACATGAAGGCCTTTATTCTGCCAAAAACAAGCTCTGAGCATAATACATACATACACTCACATATATATATATAGATATATATATACATAATACATATAGCTTGTGGTAGGCATGTAGTAAGTACTCAAAAAATAATAATAATAGGCAATACTTATTTCTACTCTCTGCTAGGTACCACTCCAAGTGCTTTATGGGTAGTAGTGCATTCCATCCATGTAACAATCTTCATACCATGAAGTAGGTACTATCATCATGATCCCCATTAGCAAATGAGGAAATGGGACAGAGAAAAATCATGGCACTTCATTAAGCTATAAAAGGCAGAATGAAGATTTGAACCCAGGCAGTCTGACTGCAGAATCTTCTTTTAACTAAGCCTCATTCTGCCTCTTTAAGTTAAATGTTACCACAATAACCAGTAAATCAAGAAAGAGTTTGTTTAAACTAAATACCAGTGATAATAACTTGCTTTAATAAGGGACAATGATAATACTGGTATTTATTGGGCATATGCTACTCTATTATTTTCTCTACTTTGTGCTGAGATGTTGGGCCACTGGAGTAAGGGGCTGGGTCCATGACTGAGATTTCTTTATCATTCCAGTTTGAGTCTCTCCAGGTAGGGTTAATGAGGAAGAAAATCCTTGCTAAAATATTCTATGGGGGGAAAGGTTAAGTATATCTACCTCTATTTTCAGCTTTCAAAAAAATGCTTACTATCAAGAACTTAAAGCATAAAACTCTTAGAAATTATAGGAGTAGAACTTCACAACCTTGTTTTTGACAATAGGTTCTTAGATATGACATCAAAAGCACAAGCCACAAGAGAAAAAATAGACAAATTGGACTTCATCAAAACTAAAAACTTTTGTACATCAAAGGACTTTATCAAGAAGGTAAAGAGACAATCTACAGATTAGGAGAAAATATTTGGTAACCATATATATCTGATAAAGATTTAGTATCCAGAATATATAAGTAACTACTACTACCAGTTAACAACAGAAAGACAACTCAATCAAAAAATGGGCAAAGGACTTGAATAGACATTTTCCTAAAGTAATACATAAATGGCCATTAAGCATATGAAAAGTTGCTCAACATCATTAGTCACCAGGGCAATAAAAAGCTAAAACACAGTAAGATACCACTTCACTCACACTGGATTGATATTATCAGAAAAATGAAAAATAACAAGTGTTGGTGAAGATGAGAAATCAGAATCCTTCTGCACTGCTGGTGGAAATGTAAAATGTTACAACCACTGTAGAAAACAGTTTGACAGTTCCACAAAGAGTTAAACATAAAATTACTATTAAAAAAACCACTGCTGTTGAGTCAATTCCAACTCATAGCAACCCTACAGGACAGAGTATAACTGCCCCATAGAGTTTCAAGCAGTGGCTGGTGGATTCAAACTGCTAACTTTTTGGTTGGCAGCCAAACTCTTAACCACTATGCCACCAGGGCTCCCATATGAACCAGCAATTCCACTCCTAGATATAAACCCAAAAGAATTGAAAGGTACTCAAACAGAAACTGTACACAAATGTTCATTGCAGCATTATTCACAACAGCCAAAAGATGGAAACAATCTGCGTGTCTATCAACAGATAAATGGATAAACAAAATGTGATATCTCCATGTAATGGAATATTATTCAACCATCAAGAGAAATGAAGTTCTGATGCATGCTACAACATGGATGAATCTTGAAAACATGCTGAATGAAGTAAGTCTGGCACAAAAGGATAGATATTGTAAGATCCCATGGATATGAAATACCTAGAATAGGCAAATACATAGACACACAAGTTTATTAATGGTCAGCAGGAGCCAAGGAGAGGGGGGAATGGGGAGATATTGCTTAAGGGCACTAAGTTTTTATTTGGGGTGAGCAAGAACTTTTGGAAACGGTAATGGTGATGATTACATAACACTGTAAAGGTAACTAATGTCACTGTAATTAATGTACACTTAAACATGGCTAAAGTGGCAAATTTTTGTTACATATACTTTACCACAATAAAATTAAAAAATGCTTACTGCAAAAATGAGAGTATTACCAAACAAAAATAATTTTATTTTGGTTCTTAAACACCCCATTCACTATTGAAATGCTGGGATATTGAAAATCTACTTCAACATCACTATGGAAAGTGAGAAGTAAATCACCACCTTTTTGGACAACAGAATAGATTACCTTTCGTTTTCCTGCACTATCCCATCTCCCTTCTTCCAGAAAGAAAGTGCGCTGGGGGAGGCTCTGGGTTTACACTCCAAGATGACCAGGCTGCCCACCTGCACTTGAACCAACTTTTTCATTGGATTCTTTGAAAAATCTGGAGCAGAAGCTGAAGAGAAAGAAAAAAGAGACAGAATGAGAACCAACAACCAAAAACCAAACCCACTGCCATCAAGTCGATTCTGACTCATAGGGACCCTAATAGCGTTTCCAAGGCTGTAATCTTTAGGGAAGCAGACTGCCACATCTTTCTCCCATGGAGCAGCTGGTGGGTTCAACTTGCCTACCTTTTGGTTAGCAGCTGACTGCTTTAAACATTGCACCACCAGGGCTCCTCAGAATGAGAACAGGATCATTAGTTTAATTTTTAAAACCTCTGTACATTTAAAATGTAGACTTTGAAACCATTTTTAAAGTTTGCTGGGCACACAAGATGTCAGCACTTGACATAAGATTTACTGTATGACACACAGGGTCTCAGTGCCAAAAGAGTGATTCAGGCTATCATGTTTTCTGGCAAGTTCTAAATCTTGAGACAGTTAGTTTATACAGGATTTTAAAAAGATTTCCTTGAAGTTTTAAAATAGCTCAACCATTCATTTGTTAAACAAAAGAAAAACAGCTATCACAGAATTTTTTAAAAGTGAGGTACATGAAGGCGGGGGTAGGGTTAGTCTCTCTGATCTCTTGGATACCATAGTTGGAATACTGCCTCACTCAATAGGTACTCAATATTTTTAGAATGAAAGCTAAGTATTGAATTAATATTCTTTTTTGTTAAAAAAAAATCAAAATCTATTATAAAGTTTTCATATGGTTAGGTTTAACTTCTGAGTTAGAAAAATATCATAACACACATTACTATATTAAATATTGTCCGGTTACATTAAATATTATAACATGTAGAAAACATTATCTTTGCTAATAATGCATAGAATACTGATCCCAAAATAACACCTGATACTGAAGATACATAATAATGTACTATTTGAATGAAATGATATGGAGATAGTCAAATGTAAATAAGAAAATCATTCTTTTTACTGGGAATGTGGAAAAAGTTAATAACTTAGTGTACCTCCTCAAACATCTAATCTCTGTCTTATGGAAAATCTGGTGAATATAATTTATTTTTTGATAAGAGGAGATCTTACAGTTAATTACACAATTGGGAATAAAGAAGACATGTTATCTAGAAGCGGCTGGCCTTAAAAATTAAGATTCTGAGAAAATAATTTTTACTAAAACAAAACAAAACTTTTATTTCGGTAAAAGCTTATGCCCATGAGGCATGCTGGCTAGGATCCCTCCATTTTAAAGATGAATAAACAATGGCTCATCAGGTTAATTTAATACAAGAGTGCAGCAAGCCTTCAACTTAAGACTTTCTGTGCAATTTCCCATGTCTTTCTGCCGTATTACACTGCCTCTCTGTCACTGATAACAGCAGCTAGGTTTTGGGTGATGATCTGCCCTTCCTAGGCTTCAGCTCTCCTAGTGAAGAAGACAGGTTCCTGGGTGGTACAAGCAATTTGCGATTGGCTCTTATCCTAAAGGTTGGTGGTTTGAACCCACCCAGCAGTGTCACAAAAGAAAGGTCTGGCTATCTGCTTCTGTAAAAATTACAGCCAAGAAAACCCTATGGAGCAGTACTACTCCATAACACAAGGGATCACCAAGAGTAGGAATCACCTCACCAGCCAACGGATTTGATTTTTTTTTTTTTTTTTGGTGAAGATGTACCTCTAACCTCCAGGCAGCGGGGGTATGAGACTTGCTTGCCTTTAAACGAGGGTTTCTCAACATCAGCACTGTTGATATTTGGGACTGGATAACTCTTCATTGTAGGGGACTGTCCTGTGCATTATAGGATATTCAGCAGCATCCCTGGCCCATCTACCTACTAGGGGCCTGTAGCACACACTATCCATCAGCCACCGCCAATTTTGATAACCAAAATACCACCAGACATTGCCAAATATCTGTTGGCAGCAAAAATCATCCCTTGCTGGGAACCACTCAGTTAAACCAATCAGGACTTTCTAGCCCTCTGGTCCTAAGAATTGGGCCAGCGATGTGTTCATGATCCAAATCAGGCTACACAGGGCCAGTGATGCTCAGGACTGGGACTTCCATTTGAGCAATTAAGAAAGCCACCTGGTTTCCACTAGATTAACAGTGGTGATGGAAACCAAGTGAATGTGTTGGGGGACATCATATAGAACTTGAAAATGGTGACTATGTTTGAGCCTGGATCAAGTTATACTAAAATCCAAATTCTCCCTATTAATTATATGGGGCAATAAATGTCTTATTTATTTACTTATTCATTCATTTATTTGCTTTTTTGTTTATTCATTCATGCTATGCACATCTTTGGTTGCGTTTTCTTTCGCAACTTAAAGTGTCTTTATGGACAACTGCCCTAAACATGATACAACATTTTCTTTCTTATACCTAAGGTGCAAGAAGGAGAAAATAATTCAGAATTTCACGTAGTTGCACCTTAGTTAATTAAGGTTTCACGATGTTCAATGCTTTATGCTTCTAGCAGCGTTACTAAAGACAACACTTATTCCTTTTGAATCAATAAATGATTAATTCAAATATTGGTATTTACTTGTATGGACCAGCAACAGAGACCACCAAAGTCACTTATTCTCTTAAGGGGCATTGCTCAGTCTGTATATAGGATAAGTATGTCTTACGTCAACACTATCTCCCTACCAATGATTTACTTCAACCTTTGGGACCTAATTCCAGCCTTAATTGCTGTTTTTCCTTAAATAATCATTTATACACACACACACACACACACACACACACACACACACACACACACACACGCCTTGATTGGAATATGCCTTCATTAGAAACCCCGAGTGATTTTGTTGTAATAGTGCAGATACTATTAGATACAGGAATCCAACATGAATAGTAAATAACCTGCTTTTGGCAACAATGGAGGTGTTAAAAAAATAATACAATAAGAAAAGAACAGAAAAATGCAGCAGCCTTACCAACAACCTTGAGTTCAGCACTGGAATAGACAAGGCCATGTTTGTTTTCTGCTATGCACTGGAACATGCCAGAATCAGTTACATTTAGGTTTGATATTGTAAGGGCACCGTTTTCTATCTGTATTCTCTCCTAGATGATAACAAAAACATTTTGCACATAAATAGATATATCATTTTGGAAGAAAAGTAAATATCATTGACCATCATTTCAATCACGTAGAAACCTTCCACATTTTCCTCAATCTGACCTGAAATTTAACCTTTCCTCATTGGAAGTATAAAGGATTGATTTAACTTAACAGCCATACATTAGCAATACTACTGAACATACTTCAGCCCAAATATAAATCAGTAAATAACAAAGCAACATTTATTCTTTTTTTCCCCATGTGGTTAAAGCTTCACACTAAAACACCCCCATGTAGTTGTTTCCTTTCTCGGCATTTACAGAGGTTTTCACCATTTTTCTGATTATGTAAGTTCAAGATATTATAAAGTCTGTGCATTAAAAAAGGATCATGGAAACACAAATATTTATCAGGGCATTTAATAGTCTGAAAGGTTATGTACAGAAATTGGAAGGAACATAATTGAGCTACTGCATAATTTTTAAAAGAGCACCAATTACATGGCTTGAGAAGGAAAGTGATGGAGAAAATGAGTACCTATGTAATAGGGTAGTCAACTAATACATTTATTCTGCAGAGGCCATACAAAGTTGTCAAACAGAAAAAATTACATTCTACACTTGATTAAAGTCAGGTCTTCTCTTAATTTCAATATCTAAAACATAGTATATTACTTCATAGACTAAATTCACAAATCACCCTTTTCCAGTGAAATTCAGTGTTTGAAGACTTCCTCCTTGGCAGACCAGGTGCTTGATTTTATTTTATTTTCCCTGTACCACAGGTAAATGAAAGTGTATGCAAACTAACAGTTTACTTCCATACTAGGTACTACAGAATGCATTTATTTAACACAAAGTGGAGAGGGGGATTAACCAGGTAACCTTACCTCTAGCACCAGAGCATCTCCATTTTTCAACCATCTGTAGGAGGGTTTGGGTTTACCACTTGCCCGACATTCCCAATAAAGATTATCCTCCACAGCTATTTCCACATCCTTTATGGTCTGAACCCAGTGAGGCTTTGCTGCATTTAAATAACAACAAAAAATAAATAAATAAAACCATTCGGTTAAAAAAAAAATCTTATCCAGGTAATTGTCAATAGATATAAGCTAGCAAGCAATGGATTAAACTCAGCAGTGACTAGAAATATATTGAATTCACTAAGTATTTACTAAGTGGATATATGAAACATTTCTAGATTTAAGGAAGGGTGTTGCAATCTGTCATTACCTAAGCCGGACTCATTGTGCTTTCTTTGTTTTCAAAATTCTGGGCACTTTAATATATTCTTCATCTGTCTCTCAGTAGATAGGAGCCCCTGGGTGGCGTAAATAGTTAAGGGCTGGATTAATAACCAAATGTTGGTGACTCGAACCCACCCAGAGGCGCCTCAGAAGAAAGCTCTGGTGATCTGCTTCAGAAAGGTCACAGCCATGAAAACTGTACACAGCGCAGTTCTACTCTGACACACGGAATCGCCGTGAGTCGGAATTGATTCATCAGCAACAGGTTTTGTTTTGTTTTTCTTTTTCTTTTCTTTTCTGGTTTCATTTTGGATACAGGTAAACAAATCTGATTTTATTTTCCAAGTGTATATTTGAATCATGAGATGGTAACTGATAACAATTTAATACGTGAGTGACGGCAGAGACTAGCCTTAATTACACACTAAAAATGAACATCCATAGAAGAGAAAGTTCTATAGCTGAGGAAAAAATATTTCCCTCAAGTTAGAAATAACTCTTAATTAAATACAAACCAGTGAGCATCTTATGAACCTCTGTACAAATTAAAACGAAAGCAGCAAAAGATGGATAAATTGCTTCAATTTGAATCATAATATGATTTTTTTTTTCCAGAAAAAGAAGTAACTCAAGCAACTTTAAATTATGTATGCAAATCACTTGGATCAAGTGGATTTATCATTTTCTTTTAGAAGATATTTGGAAAATTCTTTTTACAGATGAAAGCAACATACCACTTACAATGAAAACCATTCAATATACACAGCATATTCAGCCAAGTCTCAGCTTGCGTTTTACATCCCAAACTGGGAGGTGTGATGTCTTACTGGCTTCACATTGCATTATGCATGTGATGTCTACTGTGGGATTCACATTTGCATCCTCCATATGGAGAAACAGTTTATATATTTCTCTTTAATTGCAACCAAGAGGAAGATCTGTCTTTCCATTTCTATCTCATAAAATCGTTTTTATATAAATGAAATTGAAATGAAACTATGGCTATTTAGCTTTTAGAGAAATGCACTGGTCTAAGTTTTATTTTGCTTTTTTTTTTTTTAATACAAACTACCTGCCCAATCTGAAGTGTAGTTCAGCTCCAAATCACTTCTCTCTATTTTATAATGACATTTTCTTCTTTCAGAAATTATCAGCCTGGGATGGAATGAGGCTGTAAACAGACCCACATATGAGCCTTTTACTGAGAAGTGAGTTTCTAGAAAAAATTTCCACTGGCTTCCCATATTAATGGAAAAAAAATTTGCTGGACTAAGCTAATTCTCAGATTATAACTGCCAAGTTAACATTGATTTCCCCATTTATTCCATCATATGAGACCAAAATCTTCTATCAGAGTTTTTATATGAAATATTAGAGGCCATAACAAGAGAACTGCATGGCACTTATTGAATATCCTAGTCTTAAGGTGAATTTTCAGAGTCACTTTCATAAAACTCTATGCATTAATATAAGAATCTTCTCATTCATTTCTAATTGAGTTCTTATGTACATATCATATTACCTCTATACTGGGCTAAAGCAATAGTCTATCTCCTTTACTAAGTATAGCGAATGCTGTCAGTTGTCTATTGTGCATCCATTTCCTCTCTTCTTTATTCATAAATGAATTCCATTTTTTAATTCAGATATCTTCTCCTTCCTCACCTTACACTGTCCATGAAATCCAGAGAACTCTGATTCGATTCTCTTTTCCAGAGAGAGGCTGCTAAGTATCTAAGTCAATTACGGTCATCTCATTCTGCTCACCAGTGATCGGTTTAGGAATGAACATGCAGCCAATGAGATTTGAGGAGGGGACTGTGAGATGTTCTTCGGAAAAGAAGTATGAACAAGGAATGATGTGTTGGTCACTGCCTGCAGCCATTTTGTGACCATAAGGGAAACTAACATGCAGACTAAGCAGAAAGAGAGAGAAAGGCAGAATTTAAAAGTAAATAAATAAAAATCACAGAGAAACTAAGCCACGGCTTGATTTTAAGGTACTTAAAAGCCAGCTTAGCTTTGGATTTCTTGTCATATGAAGCAATACAATTGTTTATTGTTTACACAGGGTGGCTGCTATAGGTAGTCCAAAACATTCTAACTGAAACATTAATAAAACAAGTGTCAATCTAATCAGAGACAACGTACTTGCAGACTTCAAATATTTCTAAGGGGAATCATAATAAGCACTATAGTTTTAATATCTATCTTTGCACACATTTTTTTCCCCTGCAACATTTATGTAGGCTATCCCTTTTGGCGCTGCGGTTAAGAACTCAGCTGCTAACCAAAAGGTTGGCAGTTCGAATCCACCAGCCACTCCTTGGACACCCTACCAGGCAGTTCTGTTCTGTCCTATATGGTCGCTATGAGTCAGAATCATCTCGACAGTAGCAGGTTTGGGTTTTTTTGTTTTTCCATTTATCAATAACCTTAGTGACTCTTTTCTTTTTTCATTTAATAAAAGGGTTTGAAAACAATTTTTGGAAAAAAAGGACAATCTAATTTTCCCACAAATAGAGGCTAAATAAAGGTAACGTTATTATCCTTTCCTTACTTGAATTGAGCAGTACACCAAATAAATGCGACTGCAAATTAAAGGCAGCAAACAACGTCAAGACACATTATTAGAAGGGAGATAATAGCACTGAAGAACTCAATAAGAGCCTGAGTTTATGCCGTTTTGTCTAATGCAGTAACTGAAACTCTTCCCAGTAGACAGTTCCTTTCTGCTTAGTAAAGGTAATACGGAAAGCTATGAAGCCACGTTTTCTAATATGCTACTGTGTAAAATATTCTCGGGAAAAAAATGTCAAATACTTCATTATCACAGGAATTATTTAAAAAATTCAGAATAAAACGTTTTAGGCCCCACACTTTACTGCAGAATATTGTTTTTTCATTTCTGTGATGAATGTCTGATTGCAATCAACTCGATGGCAAGGAGTTTGGGGCCTTTGGTTTATGATTAAGTGTTTGCCCTCTTAAACAAAACATAGAACAAAACAACTTGGATTGTGAAATTATGCTATGACATACCCCTGCCCCCAAGTACAGCAACAATATTTTAAAGATGAGAGAGCAAAAGCTAAAAACAGGCAATCAATTTGCCCAAAGCGGATGCTCACCATAGTAAGTCAGACGCCCTCTGGCGACATTTTTCCCTCGTGAATTCTCAGCAATGCATTCATATGAACCTGAGTCTTCCTGTTGGAAATTGGGGATTTCAAGCATACCATTGAACTTTCTCAATTTAATTTTACTGGAAAATGGCAGTCCGTCACTTCTTCTCCAGTTAATCTGAGGTACGGGACTAAGAAGAAAAGCATCAAGTTACTTGCTTTTCTTGAACTGATACCTGGAAGCTTTTTTGGCTTGACAAAATGAAATTCCGGTTAGGATAGAGCAAAAGGCACAGGTTTTCAAATAACAAACACTTCCAGTTTCAGTTACATTACATAAACCTGATGCAAAGGTTTAGCTCTTTAAGTTGATATTTTGATAAAAGAAATTGTGCATTTTCTTGAGTTAATTCATGATGTAGAGAAAAAACTTGGAATGAAAGCAGTAATACCAACCCACTGTGTTAAAATACAACGAATGTACAAGCAAAGGAAAAATATCACCAATTTAATTTATGAAATTAGGAAAGCACATTTTCTCCAAATTGCCTTTAAGGTTTCAAATTAAATTACATATGTGCATTTTTCCTGTACTTTATTTTTCCTTTGCCTCTAAATGAAAGTAAATTTCAGAAATTAAGGAAAAGGAGAAGGCTCTGTTAAAAACCACCCTGATCTCTTAAAGCAATTTACTATTTCCGCACAGTGAATGTTATAAAACTTACTTTCCAAGGGCAAAACATTCCAATTTTACAGTTGAACCTTTAGCTGCTGGAAGAGTTTCTGGGAACTGAATTTCTATTTTGGGTTCGTATTCACCCATCACACCTGTAAATACACAATACAACGTTATTAGTTTCAATGTTTCCTTTGCAATTGCCTCATTTTTCTTAAATAAAAAACTTCTTTTGCTCTATTTTGAACCAGTTTCTCCTAGGAATGTAAATTATTCACCAGCCATCAGTTAGGTATTACTAGAAGTAGTTCTAACATGAGTCAAACATGCAACATTAATCAATATTTAAGAATTTTGGGCTCAGTGACTCATAAGTTACTCTTGCAGAATCAGTCCTGAGAAAACCACTCTGCTTTTTAAATTCTATAAAATGGGACGCTTTTCAAATTCTGTGTTCAATATGGACATTTCTAGTCAAACTAGAATACACAATGTGTATTATGACTTCTTGAAATTTCCTAAAGAGCAAAAACTATGGCAGGGAATTTACTTAATGGTACCCTGGCAGCATAGATACCAATCTCAAACTTATTAAATGGTTCCCCAGAGGCAAGAAACAGAGACTTAATAAATGGAAAAGGTCAAACTCATTTATAACTGACTGGAAATAGTGCTTAGACGCTCCATGGTTGCGGCTTTATGCTGTATTAGGTAGGGTTTTGTGTAAGTGGGTCAACTACCCAGGCTTACAAATCTGGTTCCACAGCAGTCATACACTCCCCTTAAACTGCCATCAAAAGTTTGATGAGACAATCTTTTTTTCTTTAGTAATCTTTTTTAGGGATGCTTTCTAACCTATAATAAAATATGCAAAGCCTCAAAAAACTCAGGCTTACAAAGGTGGCTTCATGGACTGCAACCTGTGATGTCACACAGAGCCCCACACTCAGAAGGGCATGAGCTTAGCTTAGTGCTCCCCTGTCACCTTCTTGAGATTCTTTAGAATTTTTGAACAAGGAGCCCCGTGTTTTCATTTTGCACTGGGCCCTGTGTATTCTGTAGCTGGTACTAGGTAAGAATTAACGCATAGGGGCCTATGGCTTAGGGAATCATTTTAGTTCTTTGTGATCATACATATTCTTGGTTCAGGAAAAAAAAAATGAAGTAATTCTTTAAGATATTGTTTTTGCTTGAATTCACAATAAGATTTCCAATTAGAATAACACTTCGAAACATTTCATACCATCAGAACGTAGCACCAAAGGCGTTGGCGACCCCAGAACTCTAGCGTTTGTCACCATACTCATGACCACACACGTGTAATTTCCCACATCAGATGGCTCCACTTTGGCTATGTAGAGGTGCCCTGTCTCCTGGGAAACAAATCTCCGACTATCTTCTTCAACAAACGATGGGTATTCATTGAAGATCCAAGCATATGACAGTTCTAATAAAATTATTGAACAGGAAGAAATGTTATTGTTAAAGAAGGTTTTCCATAGCATATAAAAAATACAACTCACGGCACACTAGATAGTTACATTGCTCTGGCCACCAGAGGAGCCCTGGTGGCGTAGTGGTTTAACACTCGGCTGCTAACTGAAAGATTTGTGGTTTGAACCCACCAGCCACTCTGTGGGAGAAAGGTGTGGCAATTTGCTTGCATAAAGACTACAGCTTTGGAAACCCAATGAGGCAGTTGTATTCTGTCCTGTAGGGTCACTATGAGTCGGAATCGACTCAACAACAATGGATTTGGGGTTTTTTGGCATACAGACTGAAACTTTCTACCCCTTAAGACCAGATAAGCTCTACTGAATTCTTACTGTTACTGAAGCACAGTGAGAAGTTAACAGGAGTTAAGAATGTCTGCGGAGATGTAAGGTGAGCTTCTACAGGGCAAGAAAGAGACTAAATTCTTTACTTTTATAAGTGAATGGACATCTCAAAAATCAGCTGTATGGCTTCCAAATCATAAAAATGCACCCTCTGTTAGCCCAGAGCACATACACACTGTAGGTCCTCCTCAGATACCTAGCCAAGTTATCTGTAGAACGTGGGAATAAGCACTCAACTCCTATCAAAACAAGGCTCAGAGCGCTAGTGTTTAAGATCAATACGATCAAGTTTACCTGGAAAAGTGCCCTATATTCTATCTTTAGATAAAATTCTGAAATTATACATTTCAAACATTGGACCACATTTGCTTGTGCCTTTACAAAATCACCTTTCCTTCAAAATAATGTTTAGTGTTTTTGTTGAAGACGATGACAAGAAACAATTACGCAAAATGATTCTGCATTCATTCTATATTATTAAGGAGGACACTGTTGATTAGCATTCTTGGCGGAGCAACATTATTACTGTCATCATTATTGCCACCCCAGGTGCCTTTTAACAGGTCTCTCTGGCTTTGGCCGGGCTTCCTTTTATATTCTATCTCAATACTGCATTTTATTTGCTCTTCCAAAATTACTAATCAGACTGCATCGATTTCTAACATAAAACTTTCTGCCATTTTCAGTACTCTCAGGAATAATGCAGAACTGCTTAACCTGATATGAGACACCTCATGATGAAGTCCCTGCTCAAGGCCTTAACCATTCTGAGCGGCCCCATGCTCTCTCTTGCACCCGGGTCTTTGCACATACTGCTCCCTGGGCCTGCAATGACCTGCATCTCTGCCGACTCTTTTGCTTCCTCCCCTTTAAACACCAAACCCCATTCTGCCTAGGTAACGCTCAAATGGTATTCAAAGCTTGGTTTCAACATCAGGGATCACCTCCTCAGAAAAATCTTTCTAAATCTTCCTTGTTCAGGTTGGTACTCCTATATAGAGCAACTCTAAGCTTATTTCAAGGAGCTCTGGTGGTGCAACGGTTAAGTGCACAGCTGCTAACAGAAACTTCGGTGGTTTGAACCCACCAGCAGCTCCTCGGGAGAGAAGACCTAGCAATCCACTCCTGTAAAGATTACAGCCTAGGAAACCTACTCTGTCATACAGGGTTGCTATGAGTCAGAATCGACTCGACCGCACATAACAAAACGAAAAAGGCTTATTTCAGTTGAAACACTTGTCATTTTGTATTATAATGAATTACTCACTTGTCTGCCCTCCACATTTGAGAAACAAGTGACATGTAATTTTTATTCTGCCTCATCCCTCTCCCCCACCAACTAGCAAAATGCAATACCCAAAGACATTTAGCAGTCCTCAATAAACATTTATTGAGTTAATTAAGGATAAAATTATCCTACTGACAATCTCTTACGTAAAGTTCACTTAAGAGTTTTCTTGAACTTTAGGACCAAGGTAAACCAACTTTCTCCAAAGGAACTGTTGGTTTTCTCCTCTGTGGTAATGAAGGCTAACTAACACTATGCTGCTTTGTCCTAGATGCCCAGATTGTTAGAGTCAAGGTGATGTTTAATGTCTTTCCTTGGCCCTATTTTCATTTATGATTTCATTTACCTCATTGCATTGGCTCATGACGGTAATGCTTTTCCAAAAGAATTACTGTAAAACATATGGAATCAAAATAAATTTAATGAATAACAACTATGAAAAATAATTTAGATCATAAGTCCCATGGCAAAGGACCTTTCTGTGTGCTACAGGGGAGCCAGTCAGTATAAATAACAAAGAGACAATATGTAATATGTAAGGGCTGGTAAGTTTGAGTTTTCAGAGGAAGGAGAGGTGGTATGTCCTTCACCACTGAAGGAACACGCCTTTATGACAGGAGACCATTGAGACAAGCAGGGATAAAAGCATTCCTGGTAGAGTGAGCAGCTAGTGAAAGGTGTCAGGGGAAAGAACACAGGAAGTACCTGGTGTACAAAATGGAGCCCTGGTGGTGCAGTGGTTAAGCACTCGACTGCTAACCAAAAGGTCTGTTGTTTGAACCCACCAGCTGTTCCATAGGAGAAAGTTGTGGCAGTCTGCTTCTGTAAAGATTTACAGCCTTGGAAAGACTATGGGGCAGTTCAACTCTGTCCTATAGGGTCACTATAAGTTGGAATCAACTCTACCACAGTGGGTTTGGTGTTTTGGTTTGGGGAAGATATGAAATGTGATGACTGACTCCCTTCCACCCTCAATGGAAATGCTAGATGTTTCCAAAGATTAGCAAGTCAATGGCAAATTGTCCAGACATTTCAAAATATTGATTTTGAACCTCAACCTGATCCTTAAATCAAGCTACTGTATTGGCAGAGAGTGTTTCATGAAATTCTAATAAGTCACGTGATAGGTTGTGAAATCTAAAGTTGTTTTTTAGGTTGTATGAAAAAAGTGCATTTCAAACATCCATTCCAGAGTTGGCCTCATGCCTACTACGACGGAGGTTTTCTATTACAATATTATTGAATAAACCATAGTAGAAAATAAAGCTAGTAAGATAGGATCAATTTGTTCTGCATTTGTGAAAAGTGGCAGCTGTTGTAGCAATAGCCCTTCTGGGTCTTCCCGCTGCTCTAAGCAACAGTCTGACTTTCCCCACTGACTCTCATCTCTCCCACCCCTGCAACTGCACCTTACTTTAAAGGAGGCGAAACGAACTCACTCTGCTTTCCAAAGTGTTCCATAAATAAAATTAATATGTGGTTGTCACTCTCTCTCCCTTTAACCCAGCCAGATTAAAACTTCCAAACCTCCCCAGTATATCAGACCTTAGCTGGCCATTAGGAATAAGAAGTCAATCTTATTAAACCAGTTGATACTAAAACGAGAGTGCCTGATGGCAAGAATTCAGATTCAGAGTCAAAACATCTGAAATCTGGCAAATTTATACAGGAGACTATTATAAGGCAATGAGAATAAATGCATTATAACTGCACACGACAACTTGGAATGAATATCACAAATGCAAGGTTGTATGTTCCAATTCACAGTATCGTTTTTATTCTAAAATTAAAATTATTAATATTTCAGGTACTATACTATCATTGGGAGCCCTGGTGGTGCAGTTATTAGAGCTACAGCTGATAATCAAAAGGTCTGCAGTTCAAATCCCCAGGCCACTCTTTGGAAACCCTACGGGGGCAGTTCTCCTCTGTCCCATGGGGTCGTTATGAGTCAGAATGGACTGAATGACAACAGCTTTGGATTTTTTTATATATACTATTATTAAGAAGCCCCAGTGGCACAGTGGTTAAAGTGCTTGGCTGCTGACTGAAAGGTCGGTGTTTCAAATTCACCAGCCACTCTGTAAAAGAAAGATATGGCAGCCTGCTTTTATAAAGATTTACAACCTTGGAAACCCTATGGGGCTGTTCTACTCTGTCCTACAGGGTCGCTATGAGTCAGAATCGACTCAACGGCAGGGGGTTTGGTTTTTGTTTTATTTTATTACAACATTGTTTTTTTACCATTAGGAGAAGTAAGGGAAGGAAGTCTGTCGTTATCTAGTGCTGCTATAACAGAAATACCATAAGTGGATGGTTTTAACAAACAACAGTTTATTCTCTCACAGTCTAGCAGGCTAGAAGTCTGAATTCAGGGCGCCAGCTCCAGAGGAAGGCCTTTTCTCTCTGTCAGCTCTAGAGGAAGGTCCTTGTCATCAGTCTTCCTTTGGTCCGGGAGCTTCTCCACGCAGGAATCCCGGGTCCAAAGGATGCACTCTGCTCTCGGCGTTCCAACTATTCTTTTTTTTAAATATATATTTTTTTTAATTGTACTTTAGATGAAGGTTTACAGAACAAATAGTTTCTCATTAAACAGTATACATATTGTTTTATGACAGTGGTTAACAAACCCATGACATGCCAACACTGTCCATTCTTAACCTTGGGCTCCCTATTACCAGCTTTATGTATGTGTAAATTTTTGTATGAGGACTAACTTGAATTGTTATCCTTCACTTAAAGCACAACAAGAACAAACAAATCTGTAATAAAAATGATAGTTTTATATACTCAAACAAGCTAGTCTTTACAAAGTCTTTCACAACCTCTTCTGTAAATCACAAACACATTATGCAAAAATGACTTGGCTACTGGGCTTTCTATTAACAATGCTACAAGAATATTAGGACTGTGACTATTTCTTAGAGAAAAGAGATTTTATCACTAAAAGTCATAAATTAAGAAAATGAAGTACTGAAACTCCACTTTCCAAAAAGTAATACATGATGAACAACATCACTTCTCCAGCCACATTCCTTCCAGGGCCTTCCAGGGTCACTTAAGTATAAAGCTAGTCAATTTCACATGAAATATGTCACTCTAGTGTTTACCTAGAGAGACATTAATACACATATTACTGAAATTTAAAGGTTTACTTATGACTCCATTATAAATTCTATTATGTGGGAGACTTGTTTGTATAGGTGTTTTCTAGAAGAAATTCTGTCAACCAAAACTGTAGTCGGGCAAAATTGTAAAAAGTAACTTTGGCCATTTTTTCTGGTGCCATCTGGGAAGCTTGACCTACTTTAAAAGAAGATA